TTCCAGTATCTTGGTTGCTGGATAACAAACGATCTTGAGAAACGAATGAAAAAATTCCTAATAAACTCTACGTTATCGTTGGATATCCGATAACAATTTGTAAAAACGTTTATTTATTCCATATTGCTATAAGGAGTGGAAACATGGACTCTCGGAATTGCAAGTATGAGGCGTATAGAAGCCTTTGAGATGTGAGTTTTTTCGAAGGATGCTGAAGATCTCTCGGACAGAGCATGTGACCAAAAACGAGATGCTAAGACGAATGGATACTGAGAGAGAACTCCTAAATATTGTTTAAAACAGAAAAACGAGCTATCTAGGACATATTTACAGATGAGAAAAATACAACTTCCTACGACTTATAATGGAAAGGAAAGTGGAAGGAAGAAGAGGTCCAGGAAGAAGAAAATGTTCCTGGTTAAATAATGTAAGATTGGACAGGCATGAACACACATTCGATACTAAGAACAGTTCAAGATAGAGAGAAATTTGCTGTAGGTATATATAGCCAACTTTTACTAATGGAGAAGACACCTTAAGAAGAAGATCGATTTTTAGGATATTGAAAAATTTAAATCCAATCAATATCACAAACTAAAATTTTAACGTAAACAGTTAAGGCTAAAACGATTTGTATGAGGCGGAAGGTGACTTTTTGCGTTCAATATTTAGGTAAACTTTCTATACATATTTAAATTTTTGTATCTCTTTGTAAAATTAGAATGTTTTTGTATGTTTTGCCATTATCCATTTTTATTTGTGTCTAATACTTAGAATGCGGATGCCACTATATTCTATATTATTTTCTATTCTTTTTACATTGTTTTTGGTATCTTTCAATTGTAGTTGCTGCTAGTAACGCCGTTAATTAAGCTCTTAAGATAGATTTTATGCCTTTTAAAAAAAGAAAAAGTTATTTGACTGAAATTGAACAAAGATAATTTTAATAGTCCTTAAAATATTCTAGTCAAGAAATTCGATACATACGGTTATAACGGTTATACACGGTACATACGGTTTTATTATATACCTTAAATAAAATAATATACAATGTTTATTACATTTTATTTAAAGCTAATTCATGCAGCCTGGTAATTACCTGCTTCGTGCTTGTTTCCGGAAATAATTAATTTTACTACTTTCAATAAAATCTTTAATCATTGCTTCCTATCGAAAAACCATGCAGTTACTTGAGATCATTTGTGTGCTGGGAAATGCACAATATGTAGGTAGTTACAAAAAAAGTTTATTTTAAGCTCGCAACCGAAGTGAATTTTATACATACGGTTCCCAACGACGAGATGTTTCCAGAAGTTCAATTGTATAAAAAATAAATCTATAACGGCCTCTAAGATTGTGCATCATAAATCTAATTTAATAAAATAAGTTACAATCAAACCGAATTAAATACAAATATTATATTCGATTAGTAAACTCTGTACCAACTCATCATACAAAAATTACTATAAATAATACTTCCATTAAAATGGTGAATAATTACAAATACTTTGGAGCTATGATAAATGACAAAAGTATTCAAAATATCGAGATCAAAAGATGTAATAAAATTGTTGGGTGTATTTTCAAAAAAAGCAAAAAATGTTTAATAATCCTGATATCAATCTCTCTTTACGAATAGGAATCTGAACATAATATGTGTTTAGTTCTTTGTTGTGCGGTGTGAAAGCATGGACTTTTAAATAAAACAATATAAAAAGCATTGAGATTTTTGAGATGTGGTTTTATCGAAACATATCTATTAAGAATAAGTTGGGTTGACCAAGTCACAATATTGATTACAGCGGATGGACAAAATGACATAATAATTTCCATAAAAAGGAGAAAATTGGAATACATGGGTCACCTAATGCGTGGACAAAAAAACGTATTCCTACAAAATTTAATGCAGGAGAAGATTAGAGGACGAAGGAATTCGGACCTCAGAAAAATGTCATGGATAAGAAATCTAAGAGAGAAATTAACTACTGTAAAAGAATAACTGTGATGATTTCCAATCTCCGATGGAAGAGGAACGGAAAAAAGAACATACCAGTTACCAATTGGAACGAGTCCGTCACTTCAATAATCCTTTAAACATTTTTAAATAAAATTTTTAAATTCAAATCCTCTTAATGATTTTCTTAAATCTTGAATTTCTAAGTTGGTATTAAACAGCGACCCCAGCGGCTGTTTTAGGCAGGCATGCCTATTCGACTAAGAATTAACAATTAGTGCGCATTCTAGTCTTAACTATAAACAAAGGAAGTTTGCTGAACTAAGATAAGTAGGCGGAAAGAGATGTGATAAATTTGTTAGTAAAAAAAAAAGTATTTTTTTTTGAGAAGAAGATGAGAAGTTGTTTTTAGTGTATACCATTTTAGTTATAGCCACTCTTAGTCGGTAAGTGGATTCAATCATCAATAAAAAGTATAAAAACCATCAGTCATTTTAAATTTCTATATTGTCATGTTACCGTTGATAGTTGATATATCTATCTGTAATCTGTCACATCATTTCATTAAGAAATATTATACGTCTAAATCGAAATTTATAAGATAAAATCATATGTCCAATTTCTATTTTACTTTCCGGCCTTAAACAAATATATAATTATATATCTATTAAGACTATCTATAAAAATATTATGTCTTATACCATTCTTTTATATTATAAAATAGGTCCATAACATGCGTTTTCGTTTATAAAAATTATCTAGTTAATCAATCCATTTTACTTAAAATATTGTCAAACAATGCGAAGGTCACACTATTTACAAAATCATTAAAGCTTTTTGTTCCCAGTAACTTTTTTATCGTATCTTTCAAATCGTATTGTATCTTTCTTCTGTTTTTTTCCTACTTCTTATTAAAAGTAAGAAGGAACGCTAACACAAATGTTATTTTAGTGTCCGAAGTTAGTCCAGAATCAAGAATTCATCATTTTAATTTTTTTGTGAATTATATGAGAAAAGAAATTGAGTTGTTCCCTACTGGGTTTACACCTTTGCCGTCACCCTGAGCTGTTCCATCCGAAGTCCAGACCTCATATAAGCCTTCCCGGATAACTTCAGGGAACCAGTTGGAAAGACCGCCTAAAGGTCGATTCAGACACATCAGTCACGTCACAGTCTCGGCGCCGAACCGGTCCTGTTTGGTCACAGAACTATCAACTATCTGAAAGCTGGCAAACTGTTCGTCAACTGATGAATGTGAATGCCGGCGGCATATTTCTATTAAAGAATATTTTGTATGACGGATTGTTCGGTTCGGCGCCAGGACTGTGACGAGACGTGACTGATGTGTCTGAATCGACCTTTAGAGTGTGGAACACAGCTAATTTGTATCAAGTTTTGTTTTTAAATTTTAATAATTTTTATATAATATTTTTTAAGTTTAAATCCTACTACTTTGACTAATAATAAAGACCCGTCATTTTTTTAAAATAATTTTAAATAACGTTTAAGGACTAATTGTCAATTACAGGTTGAGTTTTTTAATACTCCCTTTTAACTCAGTTGTACGGTTTAATGTGTGCACATTTAATCAGAGAGTTACTTATTGGTATTTTATTATTATATATTTAAACCTTTGGACATCTATCTCTTCAGGATAGTGTTGTCATTACTTTATTAGAACATTTAGTTGAAAGCCGAAGTACAGAGTTACATCTCTAGGAGGCAAGTAAATTACTTTTTAGGTAAAATCATTAAAATTTTTCCTATATCTTATTATTTGTTTTAGATCATCAAGGATCAGTTGTGTATAACCAGGGAATTTATTTTTTTTTGTATATAATTAACTAGGTTCACTGTACATAATTGGTGGTGGGTGTTTTAGGGTAAATTTAGACTGTATATATTTGGACAGGGATTAAATTTTTGGTGAAAACTAAATATTTCAATTAATACCTGTTTCCCTTTCTATTTCAGCAAACAGCTTTACAAGATACCTAGGAAAGTTTATGTTAATACTTTCCTGGCGCTCACTCCCATTTTGGAGCAACTTCTATAATCACTTTTATTTACATTAGTTATATACCTGTAGACTGTTTATTACCTTGTCATTCATTTTCTTATTCTACGATGTCTGTAGGGCATGCAAATTGTCCGAATCCTCTTTTGAGTGTCAAGTAGTCACTCTCCGGCATCTTCTGTTAGCCAGCTTTAAATTATATGTTATCTTTTACATTACCCCAAATACTTGTGTTTCATTACACATAAACACTTTTACTACATTGACGTTCTAAACGTCGCAGTCACACATATTTTTTGTTACATTACATATTTTTTGTTATACAATCTGCAATCCAGTAGTAATATAATGGACTTTTTATGCAATTGGCGTTTATTTGCAGAAAATTTATGTTAAACAATATAACAAAATCTAAAATACAGTTTGTTATTAATTGCACATAAAATATAGTGCAAACAAATCTTTGAAAAAATACTTCGGTGAAACCTTATAGGTATACAAAAATTGTTAATTAAAAATTATCTTGCTTCTGAGGAAGTTGATATTCAATTATGTGACATTTGACTTATTCCACTGCGACCTTTTTAGATCTATAGTGGTCCTATAGTCTTACATTAGATTCCCTAGCGTGACTCTTTTTAAAAGGTCTAATAACTTCGAGAATCAACCTTTAATGTAAATCTTTGCCATTGGTTTTTTTTCGCCTAATGCAAAGAACCGCACATTTGTCAGGTTGCTACACTGACTACCTGCGCTGTTGGCACCTATCAGTGCCAATATCTTTAACTGCCTATTTAGCTTATAGGACTGCCCTATTAGCAGACCTGCTATGACTTTGACTGTTTTTCTGTTCATACCTGGAATGTTCTATAATGAATTGTTTCGCCTGTCTTTGTGCTGATGAATTCCTACACAATTCCAGAGATTTTTTAGCTATCCCCTTTCCTGTAGCGTTCTTGTTACTACCTTTGCAATTCCGCAGTATGGGTTTGGTCAAACGAATGGAATTTATTGACCTTGTTTGGTCGTTTAATCTATTTTTTCATTGCTTTTATGATCGTCGTGTCCCGTTATCCAGCCTACGGTAACCTTAATATGGTCTCCTAGTTTATTTAGGGCACCCACACAATCCCATACTAGATTGGAATTGACATCTACCGAATTAAGTGCCTTAAGCACTGCCTAGCTATTTGTAAAAATGGCAATTGAACGGTAAGTTTTTTCTGCCTTTCTGTTTTTTCCACGCAGTGGTTGTCCCTATACCGGCTCCTACACCCTCCGATGTTTTTGAGCCATCTGTGTACTAGGTAGCTACCGCTTGTATGGGTACACCTTCGTTCCAGTCTTCTTTGCCTGGTATATTAATTTTTTAATTTATTGTCATAAACCTTGATAAATCTTGTCATACATTTCTATATCTCATAGCTGTTGCATCGATGTGTTGCTCCATTACAATATCGGCTTTTCAGCTCCTCGATTAGCTTTCTATTGTCAGCACTGTGCGCCTGTCTTATGTGTTGCTGACTATGTATTAAGCTGTGCATCAAAGATCTAGCTTCACCCTATTTGAAGATTTGAATTTGTGGTAGATTCAGCAGGACTTCCAACGCCACTGTAGGAGTTGTTTTTATGGCTTTCGTAATACACAGGTATGTGTATTACTTAACAGCCTTATTGCTTCCACTTGCTGCCTTTTGTACACTACGTCACAGACCCATAGGTTATCATTGGCCTAATAACCCTTGTGTATAACCATAGGGTTATTTTGGAGTTGAAACACCAATTATTACCTCACATGCTTCTACATCTGTCCAAGGACAATAGTAGCTTTCTGTGTGGTTTTAAGTATGTGAGTATTCTGTATAAGCCTATGATCAAAATACAACCTTAGCTATTTTATTTTTTGGCAATTGAAATCTCTGTTCTTCCAAGCACCAGTGGTTTTAGGCCTTGTAATGCTGAATTTTTTGTTAAGTTAACAATTTGTGTTTTTTTAACATTGACTATCAGTCTCTCTTGTTTTCACCAGTTACCAACTATATGTACGTCTGCCTTTATCTCCCAGACAACACTTCGAAGCCACGGAAATTTGTCCCTAACGACGATTGCCGGAATATCCAGCCTATCCTAGACAGTAAACGTCTTTTGTTGATATATTTGTGAAAAGATGATCTACTAAGGTTACCCAAGGTGAAGGTGACAAAACTCTTACTTGCGAATACCCTCCACCTGCTCTTGTATTGATACTTGTTTTACCCAGAGTGGATACTACTATCCTATTCTCTGGAGATGCGTCTCAGTTTCCATATTTATGGTACGACCTCCATGTTAAACTGGCTTTGAGGAGCTTGCATATGGTGGTATCAATACCTCTAATCCCATAAACAAAAGTAGTGTGTGGCTTTGATCTATGTTGGTTCGCCTATTAAAAAATGCAATTAAATATACAAAAGTATACTTCACAAAATGAGAAGAGTATCCAGCAAAAACACAAACCATCGTCTGTACAAAAGTAGGATTTTGAGAGAAAAACAAAATCATAATATAAATAATCGGATAAGATCATAGGAAACGAAGATTTCTTTATGCGTCCTAATTTCATGTCAATTTTTTGTATCTCACTTTTCATTATATGTGTGAAATTCTTTTTGTAAAATTAAATTATTGAAGGATCATTGATTAACTTTTATTTAAATAATAACTGTACTAACATTTCGTTAGAATAAAAAGCTTCAAAATTTATTAAAATGTGTCATTTTGATAATAATCTGTTTGCGTTAAATGCGTTTAAATATAGTACAAACTTACCCTTTCCACAAGTTTTTTTCTTTAGTTCACATATATTTGGATATATTACTCCGTCACTTCCACATACTGGATCTCCATAGGCATTTTCTTTACATATCCTAGGACAAGATGCATCTCTATATGCCGATATTCCTGCAAATAAACATAAATTTAATTTACTATCATTTAAATTTTATTTAATTTTTTTTACATAACGTCATAAATAGATAAATAAGTAAATTTGTTCTAGATCGAGAAAACAAGAACAAACAAAACTAATTAGAATGTAATATTGTAGAGAAAATTATCATTTATTGGTAGCTCAAAATAATTTCATACATATATGTGTTAGCTAAGGTAGTGTAAACATTTAAAGACTACGTCCCAAATCGTGTTTGATATCTATGTATAACAATATCTAAAATTAAGAGTGGTGAGTTTTTTCGGTCAAAAGGTGAAGAAAAAAGACAAAGAGGGTGGCTACTTCATCTATTTGTTGAAGTTGTTTCATCAGTTCATCTAAAAAGAACAATATGAAAAACAAAACATCCATAGAGAAGTCATTATAAGTGTGTTACCTCAAAAAGACATGTAGCAGTCAATGATATTAAATACGTAAAGGTTCTGGTTAAAATGAAAGAATGAATTTATTTTTTAAACATCTGTGGGAGTTGAAAATATCTCAATTTCTTGTATGGATTACATTTTTTTTGGTGTGGACCAAATTTCATTTTTTCGTCTATGGATCAAATTTTACTCTGTAAGATCCTACATGTGTACTTAATAATGTTGTTAAAGATAACTTAACAACAAAAATGGTTTTATATCCGTTTACCCAGAACAAATTATAGCCACTGCTAAGTTAAAAACTGATAAATACCAGATCTTTTTGAATCTGATATGTCGACATTCCAGGGTTTATCACAAAATTTGTAATTGATGCAATAATTTCACCTCTTACACATCTCCACGTAAATTTGATTTTGACAAATTTATTTATATTATGTAATTTAAGCATCCTGTATCGATATTTACCCTTTTATTAGACCAGGGGTGTCCAACTTGCAATGCCTCAAGGGCCAAAACTAAAACCTTGCATGTTGTCGCGGGCCATATAATAATTTTGTTACAAGTAATAACAAAATAAAGTGAGGTATAAAAATAATTAAAACAAAAAAGAGTATTACTTCTTTTATAGCTCAACAACTATATTTTTTTTATAAACGGAAAATTTATTGATAACACTTTTCAATAATCAAGACAAACATTGCAAAAGCAACGAAAAAGATGTATCCAATTAGTGTGAGGATCGACCGATCGGCTTCATCCACCAACGAAGAAATGTCCACCTCCAGTTCAGTTGTAGATACTCTCATAAGATGACTTAAGGGAGAATCGTGGCATTTAAAGAAAAAATATGCTTTTCGAAAATCTTACGTGGGCCACAACAAATAGCCTCGCGGGCCGGATGCGGCCCGCGGGCCGCCAGTTGGACAACCCTGTATTAGACCATACAATCCGATGTCTAAATTATTTAGTCGCATTACGGGATCCCACATATTTGTTTCGAAATTTCCTAGCGCCAGGGAGACAATAGTAGTACATGTAATTTGTAAAAAATTTTCAGTACAAGTAGCGCCACCTCTCACTCTTACAAAAAAAATGTATGCCACTGGAAGACTAAGAATAAATCAGGAATAACCAGGAAATGGTCATCACCATAAAAATGTAATTTTAATTATATTCAATCGTGGCTTAATCCCATACAAACATAATATTTAGTATTGGTTGGTTAACTTTTATTTTTTTTTACTGTCCTTTTAAAGCTATATATCAAGATTTTCAAATTTTTTAAGTAAACAATTTACTTAAGTTTTTAATTTAAACAAAACGTAGGTTTAAATATTTATTTTTGAAATTTTTTAGTCATTTATAGTAATAGTATTTACAAATAGTATGGCTACGTCTCATCACAATATTTATTGTTCACTCCTAATTCATATTTTTAATATCCACCTTAAAAATTTGACATTAAAGTCCTTACTAAGAAGGAACTTAAATTTTACCAGCGTTATATATATAAAAAAAATAATCAACAACCTAAAAATCTCTAAGGTACTTTTAATATGTAAAGTATGTTGACATAATTTTCTTCCGTATTTAATTCAAATTTTTCCTACCAATTTCTACTTTTGCCATAATTTAATATATTGGTAATTCTTATGTCATAATATTCATAAATATTATTCGATTATGTTATCTAACTCTAAAATTATATTCAAATTTTACGATTTCTTTTTTGTCTTATTTACTACATTTAATGGTTTTTCGCAAAATATTTAATTTCCAGATAATTAAATACCGATCAGGCAACAGAATCTTCAGACGTATAGTTTCAATATTGCTTCAATCTCTTGCACAACAAAATAAGTTTTAAAATATACATAGAGAACAATTTTACACAAACGCGCAAACAAATGTTATATAAATATATATTTATAATATAATTATATAACATTTTCGGTGAAAACATAACTAATAACGTAACTAATACACAATTGAAATCACATGTTAGGAATAAATAATATCTAATCGATATGTAAAAAGCTGGAAAGGTTATGTTTTACGGATCCATTTTACATACTTATTTATCTTTAATGCCCTTAATATATATAAAAAAATAAATTATATATATATATATATATATATATATATATATATATATGTATATATATATATGTATATATATATGTATATATATACATATATATATATATATATATATATATATAATATATATATATATATATATATATATCGGTCTCAAGGTGGAGCAATAATCCTATAAGTTGATAGGCTACTTTATCTATTTTGAAGACGTTTCGCTTTTGTATTCTGAAAGCAATATCAGTTCATCTGAAAAGTACAATGTGAGAACCACGCAAACATGGAAAAGATGTTGTAAGTGTTATCTTAAAAAGACATGTAGCAGTCAATGTGTAGTGAGACGACCTTTTAATGATCTCCCAGTATGACCAATATAACAAGAATCACACTCGGCACAAGGTATGTGATAAATGGTGTTAACTTGTTCCAAAGTGGACAAGGGTGTTTTGGTTTTTGAAAACAAATTTCTAACAGTCTTAGCGTTCTTGACCGCAATTTTTACAGGTGTGTTATTCTGTTTATGCAGTTTAATAAGTTTCTCAGTAACTTGAGGAAAATGAGGTAAAGATGAGTAATGGATGGTAGGATTCTCAAGATCAGTATCAGGCAGAACAATGCTATTAATTGAATTATTTGATATGGTTCTAAGTTGGTCACCATTGGGTATGGCATCAAACGAGGATCCATAACTTTTGTGAGTAAAGGATATGAATCTCAATTAGAATATTTCTTATTAATTTAAGAGATTCCCTTCGATTAATCGGATGTGTCAATTTATTTAAAATTCCACGAGGAAACTAAGTTCCTGTAGCTGGCTGTATACCATATATCACAAAAAAATTTGTTAAAATCCTTTATAAAAGGTATATAAAATTGCCTCAAACGGGCTATCACAAACACATTGCAAAACGTTTTCGGATTAAACAATCCATCATCAGTGCAAACGTTGTACATGCTAGTAGCCACCAAAATATATGGGTAAAAACCCTTTAAATGTTATAAATTTGAAATTGTTTTACATTATTAGTGTTTCTAATTTGTGATGGTTAAGTTATCGTTGGATAGGTAACATGGCGGCGTATGACTCTACATGAGTAAAATGGTCCTGAGACGAAGTGCCTACGAGGACCTGTTGATAACAACTCAGTTATCAGTTGTTATCAACAGGTCCTCGTAGGCACTTCGTCTCAGGACCATTTTAATCATGTAGAGTCATACGCCGCCATGTTACCTATCCAACGGTAACTTAACCATCACAAATTAGAAACACTAATAATGTAAAACAATTTCAAATTTATAGCATTTAAAGGGTTTTTGCCCATATATTTTGGTGGCTACTAGCATGTACAACCGTTTGCACTGATGATGGATTGTTTAATCCGAAAACGTTTTGCAATGTGTTTGTGATAGCCCGTTTGAGGCAATTTTATATACCTTTTATAAAGGATTTTAACAAATTTTTTTTTAATTTATTTAATCGGCAGCTTAGAGCTTTAATAAGGTTTAATTTGTATTTCATAGGATGACAGGAATGGTAGTTAAGGAACCTATTAGAGGCCATCGGTTTTCTATACCAACTTGTGGTTAGTGTGTTATCTCCCATTCTAATGACACGCATGTCTAAAAAGAGAATACTATTGGTGACAGTGTCCTCAAGTTCAACAGTGAACTGGAAATGAGTATCAAACTCATTGAAAAAGGATAAGGTACCCTGAACCTTGTCAGGTGGTAAGGCTAATAATAAATCATCCACATACCGCTTAATAAAAGGGATTTGAAAATCCAAAAAACCTAAACGGTCAGATATCAAATCATCCAGTACATAGTTAACGAGGATGGGAGAGATTGAGGAACCCATAGGTGTACCAAATATTTGGAGATAAAATTTGTCATCAAAGACCAAGAAACTTGTGTCGAAAACTAGTTGCAAAAGTTCTGCAAATACATCCCAAGAAACGGGACAGTTAGGTTTAATAGAATTCCAATGATTTCTCAGGGAGGTGATAACGCTGGACAAAGGTAAGTTAGTGAAGAGAGACACCACATCAAAATTTACTAAAATGTAGCCTTGTGGTAGTTTGAAATTATTAATAAATTCACTAAAGTGAAACGAATCAACAAAATTATTATTGTAATTATATGATTTGGATAAGATATCCGTTAGAAATTTGGAGATATTAATATTAGGTGAATTAATAGATGACACAATAGGTCTCATGCTCAGTGTAGGTTTATGTATTTTGGGTAGACAATAAAATCTGGGAGCATATCCATCATAATTATGTAAGTATTTAGCAAGAGGTTAATCTATGATCTTTATATTTTTTAAGTGTGTTATAAATTTATTGATTTTATTAGTGAATTTAAAACAAGGGTTGGTAAAAAGAGGTTGATAGTATCTATCATCATCTAATAGTGATTTACTCAAACTGATATATTGATCTCTATCTATAAGGACAGTAGCATTACCTTTGTCGCTCGTGAGAATGAGAAGATTAGGGTGGGTTTTTAAAAACGATATCGTCTCCCTGTAAATCTTATCTAACTCCGATAAGGGTTGTCTAGGGCGTTTAATGAAATTCAACAAGATGTTGTTGGAAGAAGATCTAAGGGATAAAAAGGTCAGAATTGTCAGCATGTGACAAAATTTTCTCAACATCTGCTAAGATTCTACTAACCGAGTAGTCTCTGAAAGTTGGTTGAAGGCCAAATTTAGGACCCAAAGATAGCAACTTGAGTATGTCCGGAGGAACCTCAATATAAGATAAATTTTTGATCCAATTATGATTAAATGGAATTTTCTTGAATTCAGGAGTATCCAAGTTTATTTCGAAGATGTGCCATGGATAGAAGTTATGATTTTTGAGGATGCAGTCAGTCTATTTGGCCCACAAGACAAAGAAAACTCTTTGACTTACTGTCAAGCTTTCGAATTTTATTTAATTCTTTTTCAAAACATCTATAACAAAGAAATATAAAAATTAACTAGTTAAAATTATAAATTGTCTTACTTACTAGTCGTGAGATTACAGTTATTATTGTACTTTATAAAACAGTAATCACACGTGGTGCTGAAACAATGTGCTGAAAGGTATATAAAGACGAGTAATGATTAAATATTATAAAACGAAAGATAATTGAAGAATAGCGATAAAATAAAGGTAATGGTGAATTTTTAAGGGAAATAGAAGCATAGTTAGACGTAGAATATCATGACTGCACAACCTAGGAGAATGGTAGGTAATAATGTACATCAAGTGAACTTTTCAGAGCACCAGTCTTAAAAAATGCCCGAATAGCTTTGATGAATGCCAAGCTCCGTCGTGGAGATGGCACTTTTACCAACCATTAGTTTCTGTAATTGTTTTAATATTTCAATATTAAAAAAAGTATATATTACCCATATAACATTCTTTAACATTTATAGACCATAATATACACCGATAAATGATGATATCGCATTAATTTTAGCGTGGTATGCCACTAAATCATTCTAATCTTTTATAAAATATTTATGACGGTTGCTTTACGCTTGAGTTATCCTTTTTATTATACATAATACGTTCAAAGTATGTCAGAAATTATCAAACGGAATCTTGAAATGTCACTACTTAATAAGACTTTCTATTGGGAGCAAATTTAGTCAACACTAACGGCAATTAAATTAAAATGATGTAGGAAATCAAATTAGCATAATATGTTAGTTCTACCAAAATATATATTATCTTTATTTCTATTAAATACAGTGTTCCACACAATTGGCTGAATACTTTTTTTTTTTATAAAAGATGCTATGAAAATAAACTTAAAAGATTTTTCCAAATAAATGTATAATAACTATTTTCCTCGAGATTGTTTTAATTTATCGTTGATTGCTCCCGGTGAGTATCCAACATTACAGAGGAATCAATTTATTAATTAATTAATATATTTATAATGGGGCAATATTTAAGAAATCATTAAAATACAAAAAATATATCTTAAAAAATACATTATTTTTCTTGGAACTCAAGAGGATATTTGATAGGATCAAATTAAAGGACAGTAATAAGTGTACCTATTGTATGAAAGAGAGATGCCTCTAGGAATAATTAAAACTAACAAAAATATCTACCAAAATAACACCATAAAAGTAGAAGTAGACGAAAAACTAACTGGCCCAATTGAAGCTGGCATTTAAATAAGACAGGAAGATTCTCTCAAATGACTGACAAAGTTATCAATTTTAGAAAAGTCTGTATAAAAAAACTATAAAACAATAACCAAAGTCGTTACCTATACCAGAGGTTTCCCTTTTTTTAGCTGTAAGCTGTAAATGAAAATCAAACTTCTTTAGACAGAACTCCATCTCTTATGGCGAATCTCGTCTTTAACCAAATGATTTACAGCAGTAAATTTTACCATTCTGTGAAATGACAATTATTGTGTTCTTAATTTTACTCCAAAAAATTAAGGTGTTGGATGGAAGGAGGGAAGGAAAGAGAGAAGGATGAAAATAGTAAATTAAAGACATGAGCAAAACTTATTATTCTAACATATTTTCAACATGAAAACAGTTCATTTTGAAAACGGTTATGCAAAGAATGGAATTCAAAAAAAAGGTATACACTTTTTTTGTGAATTTTGTAAAAAAATGCAGCATTTTTAGGTTATGTACACTCAAACTACGGGACTATAAAAATAAACAAATTTTGGGCTGTCTTATTTTTTAATAATAATTCAGTATATTCATATTCATATATATATATATATATATATATATATATATATATATATATATATATATATATATATATATATATATATATATATATAGTATACTGGTAAGGTTGATTGGGTTAGCAGCTGAATAATGAAAGCCAAAGTGTGCTCTTTTTAACGATTTCGTTATATTTCGTTAAATTTCTTTAACATCTTCAGACGAATGCTACAATATGTTACAAAATGGTGAAATTGTGTATTTTACTTGTGTGTATAATTGTGTATTGTTCAAGTCATTTAGTTTAAACGGTTTTGTTAAAAGTTTTTCTCCTGAAAGCTATCTGATTTCATTGTGTAGAAAAACTGATCTTTTTATAGAGGGTAAACACGTATTGGCATAATTGACAATTTATACGGCCTGATCAAAGAGGTTCTTGTCAGATTGTATTTTTTTTTTTTTCAAAAGTACAGAGTCGGAAGAGCAAAATGTGCTGATGGCATATTAATTTTAAAGCATTTAAATAAAAGAAGGGTAAAACAAGAAAAGGCAGTAAATCTAACATTTATAGACCTACAAAAGGCATACAAAACAGTCCTAATAAGTAAGTTTATGGGTCGCTATGCAAAATTTTGGTATGGGGGATACGTATATTCAAGCAATAAGAATACGAGGATTGTAGTGGTTCAGTCAAAGTCGGAAACATTATTTTTAAGAATCAATGTAAATAAAGACAGGGGTGCTGATTAACACCGACTTTATTTAAAATATATTTGGAAGCGTTGTAACATTAAATCTGAGTACGTAGTAGTGAGTGAAGATTGTCGACAAGACATGAATGTAGGAATACGTAAAGTTAAGAATATTTCTTCGGTTAAATAATTGGAGTAACTCTTACGGTAAACGGAAAAAGCTACTAAGATATCATTTACTTTGTCAATAAAATTGACAAAGTAAAAGGGTAATAGGTTAACTAAACTCTGGAGTGATAAAATTTTGAAAACAAAATAATCTTATACGAAGCAATTGCTAGAAGCATCACCACTTACAATACGTAACATTATAGCAGAAAAAGAAACCATCGTATACGTCACAGATGGCAAAATATTAACTTAATATCGTTACCTACAGGGTTTCCCAATAGGGACGTCCTGTTTTTGAAATGTCTTAGCGGCCATTTTGAAAATGATGGAACTGTCACTTTTTGACGTTTGTATTTAGTATACTCTAACAAATTACCATGGCAAGATATACGCTGGAACAACGTTTGGAAATTATCCTAAAATTTTATGCTAATAATCGTTCTTTTGTGAATACCTATCGTGCATTACGTGAAAGTTATGGACCAAATGATCGTCCTGATGTGCGTGTAATTCGTCGAATCGTGGAAAAGTTTGAACGTGAATTTACTTTGCAGGATACGAAATCACCAACTAGACGCCGAAATGCAAGAACTCAGGACAATATTGCTGCTGTAATAGCCAGTGTAGCGGAGAATGCAAATGTGTCCGTAAATCGTCGTTCTCAGGAACTTGGACTCGCCAGAATGACAACTTGGCGAATTCTGAGAAAAGATTTAGGCCTACACCCTTACAAGATTGTTCTGACTCAAGAACTGAAGATACTTGACCATCATAAGCGTCGTTTGTTCACTGATTGGGCTCTAGAGAAACTCGAAAAAATTGGCGATTTTTTCAAAAAAATAATCTTTTCCGATGAAGCTCATTTTTGGTTAAACGGCTTTGTGAATAAGCAAAATTGTCGTTTTTGGAGTGAAAATAATCCACATGAGATTCTTGAGAAACCTATGCATCCAGAAAAACTCACTGAGTGGTGTGGTTTATGGCATGGTGGCATCATCGGACCTTATTCTTTCGAACATGGTGTAACAGTTAACGGTGATAGGTATCGAACGATGATAACGGATTTTTTGTGGCCTCAGTTGGATGAAATGGATTTGGATGGCATGTTTTTTCAACAGGACGGTGCCACATGTCACACTACTGCCCCAACCATTGATTTATTGAAGGAAAAGTTCCCGGAAACATTGATTTCTCTTGATGCCAGAGATCCCAGGAGAATTCAGCAACTTCGACCAGATGCTTGGCCTCCAAAAAGCTGCGATTTAACACCATTGGATTATTTTTTATGGGGCTATCTTAAGTCATTGGTCTTTGTGAATAAACCACAATCCATTGAAGACTTGAAGAGGAATATAGAGGTAACCATTCGTGAGATTAATGCAGATATTTTGCATAAAGTGACCGAAATTTGGGTTCATCGGATTCGCTCCTGCAAACGTAGTAGAGGGGGACATTTGAATGATGTGTTATTCAGAACATAATTGTTATCTATTATATTTTGCAATAAACTTTTCTTTTATTGATTTACAGCAATTTTTATCGTTTCGTTAAAAAAAAAACATCAGGACATTCTTATTGGGAGACCTCTTACTTCCAAACCATCGAGTTTCTCTGTATTTTCGCAGAATCTTCATAAAATTCTGTCAAATTGTCATT